ACATCCATGTTCATTGCAGCATTATTCATGGGATAGCTGTGAATAATGCCCTAATAGCCAAAGCATGGAAACAATTGAACTGTGTGCTGATAGATGGGTGGATAATGAACTAAGTGGGATTTTGTTAAGCCTTAATAAAGAAGGCCTCCTTGTCATTTGTACAATGTGACTGAACCTAGAAGACATTATGCTAAGTGAAATAAGTCAAGTACAGAAAGACACTTGCCATATGATCTCACTTAAATGTGGAATCTACAAACTGTCAATTCATGGAACAGAGTAGAAGGGTAGTTACCAGGGACTGCAGGGAGAGAGGGTGTCATTCAAAGGGTATAAACCTGCAGTTATAAATGAATAAGTTCTGCAGCTCTAATGTGGAGCACAATGACTGTAGCTAATAATAATACTACATATATATATATATATATATATATATATTGAAATTTTTAAGAATGGATTTGAAGCAGTCTCATCACACAGAAAAAGGCAATTATGGGAGGTGATATATATATGTTAATTAGCTTGATTGTGGCAATCAATTAATACATAGACATATCAAAGCATCACATTGTATAGTAAGAATATACATAATTTTATTCCTCTATTAAACTTCAGTAAATGTATAGTAAAAAAAAGAAAAGATGATCAATTACTTTAAGTTTACGAGTGTCACTTTTTATGAAGTCAGATTGCTCCTCCCCTTTGCCAGTATTTGGATGTAGTTTGTCCCTGCCAAAGCTCATCTTGCACCTCAGTCCCCAATGTAATGGTGTTGAGAGTTGGTAGAACCTTTCAGAGGTAATTGGATTGTGGGTGCTCCACCTCATGAATGCATCAATGCAGCTCCTGTGAGAGCGAGTTAACTTTTTTGAGAGCAGGTCCCTGTAGCTCTCATACATGACTCTTCCTTGCACATGCTCACTTCCCCTTCCATTTCTCAGCCATGTTGTGATACAGCTCAGGTCAGCACTAGAGGCTGAGCAGATGCCAGAGCCATGGTCTTGGACCTCCAGAATTGTGAGCTAAACAAACCTCTTTTTAATATAAAGTACATAACCCCAGGTATTTTGTTATCGCATGTAAAACAGACTAAGACACTCCCTCTCTTGCTCCATTGTGAAAATGCCCTAAATATCACAAGACATATCTACATGGGTAGTTTTCCAGGAATCATTTTTGAATGTCCTTTCCCAAGAAGATGTCTTTTGAATCATCCTGCTTGGGAGCAGACAAAAATCCCAGCATTAATTATCAGTAATTAGGATCCTCAATCAAAGTTATTTTTTCACAGTGAAATTTCTGCCCTTTCTTTCATTGGTACACCAGCCCATTCAGATGCCCAAGGGGAAGCTCATCACTAAGTAAGGTTGGAGACAAAGCAGAGGAGAAGGACCTATAGGAGGATGAGGGAACCAGCTGCCTGCTGGCTTCTCCTGCCTTACTTCTCTGGATACCTCTCTGTGGGGTTCTTTGACTGATTACATCCAACCTCCTGTAATTCCAGATTCCTCTCATTCTTTGTTCTGGTATTTGTCACAGAGGTCATGATATTCTGGGACAAGCACTCCAAGAAAAATTTGGAATCAGACCTGTGTTTGTGCCTGGTGCTTTCTGTGCACTCTTGGGCCATCAGATAATCTCTCCTAATTGGGTGATAAAATGAAAATAGTATTTACCTTTTGTAGTTCTTCACAGACTCAAACACACATATATTAAAGGTTTTTGAAAACTACATAGACATAGGTCAGATTTCTTTTTCCATTGATATTAAAATATCTATCCTTAGTCACAAAGGGATTGTGACAAAATTCATAATAATTGTTCTTTTGTTGTATAGAGTGGTCATTAGAGAGTGGGTGCCCAGCTAAGGACGGCAGTTGCCAGACTTCTTTGAATTTGGGAGGGCTAAAGTGAATAGCTTTTACTAATCAAATCTGAGCAGACTGACAAGCATGACTTCGGAGCCAAGGCAATTACAAGTGTGTCTCTTCCTTTAATTTTCTTCCCATCTGCTGATTAATAAAGATTCCAAGGCTCCAGAGGTGGGAAACAGAGTCCCTGAATCATCACATGGAAGAAAGCCCCATGCTGACCAAAAACATCCACATTGGATGATAACATGAGTGAGAAATAAATTCATTTTACTAAGCCACTGAAATATTGGGGTTGGCTTATTGTGGCAGCTAACTTTGCCCTTAAAAGAGGTCAGACAAATTGGGATGTGATGGGTCAGTCGTAAAAAGTGCTAAAAGCACACATGCTAGCAATGGCAGGCAATGTCTTTTTCACACTCATTCACACACAGGCCATAGGGCCAAGGCATTGCAAAAAGGTATCTGCAATGCCACACCAGTTAGGGTTGTCAGGCAGCTTGATTGTGTGTATGTGCTGGTGTACACATCACTTTCTTACATATTCTAGAATCTAAACGTTACGGCTAGAGTAATTGACTTCAGAGGCTACACATTACTGTGATCTAAGAGGATCAAGTCCCTTTCTGTGTCTCAAGATGACAGAACTATTTGTTGGGCACTCCATCAGCCCTCCTCCCCACTCTCCATTCTCTGTAGTTCATACAGCTTCTCTCTTGACAAAGCCTCACATTGGGAAATCCAGTATTGACTTCAAAAGTGGAGATGGCTCCACAAATGCATTTCATGATTTTTATTCTATCATTTAATCAGCTAAAAGGGATTTTTCATTTTCAGCTTGGTGAATGGAAAAAAAACTAAATGAGCCTTTTAGCCAAGACCTTCTCTCTGCTTGCCTTTTAAGTTTGTTTTATTTTACTCACAAACCATATCACTTCTATGGCAGGACTTGTGTTCCTATGCTGTTTTCTTAGTTACATTTTTTGACAGAAATTTAAGCCTAGGCAAGGGCTAAAAATCCACAGTCCAGAGACAGAAGGTTAAAAAGAAAAAGAGCCTTCAAGCCAGGCACCAGTGGCTCACACCTCTAATCCTAGCTTCTCAGGAGTCAGAGATCAGGAGGATTGTGGTTCAAAGTCAGCCCAGGCAAAGAGTTTGCAAAACCCTATCTTAAAAAACCCATCACAGAAAAAGGCTGGTGTGGCTCAAGGTGTAGATCCTGATTTCAAACCCAAGTACCACAAAAAAAAAAAAAAAAAAAAAAAAGCCTTCAACGCAACTTGATGACCACTCCTTGGACTAAAACTTTCTCAGACACACAACTGGGTCACTGTTAGGATCCACCTATCTTTCTCCTTCCTCTTTAATGCTGGAATCTGCCCATGCCAACTGCTGTCATTCCATGACCATGCTGTCTCTCTCACCCCATGCCATTGAGCATGCTGTTCGTTTTTCATCTGTCCTTCAATAGCAAGCCCTGTCATCAAAGTAAACCACCATTTATTCTTCTTTCAGCATCCTGCTTAAATGTTACGTTCTCCATGAAGCCTTTCCCCATTTCTCCAGGTCAAGTTAGTACTTCTTTCCTTTGTGTTCCATGGTATACAATGTCACTCTTATAGCACTCCAGGCACAGAACTGCAATTTTTTTTTGCACCTTGATGTTCATAGGTTTCATGAGCTCCTTCCTGTTACTTAGCTTCTGGAAGAGACAGTCATACATACAAGGTGATCTCCACCCTCTTCTTACTGAGTCATTTGGATCAGGAATGAGCACTCAAGGTACAGCAGCCAATCCACAGGCACCCCAACCACAGCTTTCTACAAACAGTTCTGCCTTTTGTAAATGGCCCCCTAGGAATGGAGAATGGATTGTATTCTCTTAGTCGAGGGTTTGCACACAGACACACAAAGGGACATTACAGTTGGTTGTGAGACTGGAAGCTAGGAGTTACTGGTTGGGGAGATTGGGGCACAGACCTCAGTGGAAAGGCTGAGAGGCCTTGAGATGAATAGAATGTAAGAGACCTTGAAATTGCTGTAAGCCAGGGAGTTCAGATAAGCAGGTGTGGGGAATGGGAAATCTTGAAACCACTTGCTCAAGCCTTGAACTAAAGGCTAAAGGTCATCAGCACATAAACTAGGTCCTGACAGGATGCTCAGCTGATATGCCAGATCTCAGGATCACTGGGAAGGAAACAGGGGTACACACTGTGCCCCTGTAATGTCCATTGGCTGGCACAGATGTACATCCACTGAATATTGACAGAGACATAACCAGCTCCCCTTCAACTAAGAAATAAAATGCTTACAAAAACTCCTAGAAAAGAGCCTTGAGGGTTCAGCCTTCCTGAGACCCCTCCCATGTATATGGGAGCTTTTCTATTCTTTTTCTCTCTGCTTATATAAAACTCTGCTCTCTTGCTCTTCCCATTGTGTGTAACTTTCATGCTTCGATCACATGAGCTAACATTCTCAGCAACTATCACAGTACACCTGAGACCAAACCACTGCAACAGTTGAGAGCAGAGCTGTGAGGTCATGAAATAGCATCAGAGCTGGTAACGGTGCCAGGCTGTGTGTAAGACAAGCAAAGGAAGCCCCTTGGAAGACAGATGAAAAGGATGGGCTTTACAGGCAGGGAGAAGGAAGGACAGGAGAAATCACCTGGCACAAGATGTAACATGCCAACTGACATATTGACCCAGAGACCATAACAGCTCCCCTTCAATAAAAGAAAATAAAATGCTTACAAAAACTCCCTAGAAAAGAGCTTTGAGGGTTTCAGCTTCCTGAGACCCCTCCATGTATATGGGAGCTTTTCTATTCTTTTTCTCTCTTGCTTCATTATAAAACTCTGCTCTCTTGCTCTTTCTCCATTGTGTGTAACTTTCATGCCTTCGATCACATGATCCAACATACTCACAACATCACAGTACACCTGAAAACAAAACCACTGCAACCAGTTGAGAAAGCAGAGCTGTGAGGTCTGAAATGCAATCCGCTGGTAAAACGGTGCCAGGCTGTGTGTAAGAACAAGCAAGGAAGCCCCTTGGGAGAACAGATGGAAAAGGATGGGGCTTTTACAGGCAAGGGAAAGGAAGGACAAGGAGAAATCAACATGTATGGGAGGCAGTAGCCTTGATTGAATCAAGGTGAGTAGCCTTGATTCCTGAAGGCTTTTAGACCCCTGTGGCCAGGCTATGCTTCTTGCTTTGGGTTACATAAGATCCCCTTACCAAGCGCCTTAACAGTGCTGTCCTCCTCTATTTCTCTGAACTGTTTTAATTGGTTTCTGTTTCTATAACCCAAAGAAACTTAATTAAAAGAAGTTTTGCTTCCTTTTTCTGAACTTTTTCTTGTGATCAGGAACTGTATCTTACTTTCCTTTGTATCACCCAAATATAGCTCAACACATGGAAAGTGTTCAAAGTGTGTTTACTGCATGAATGAGCAAATAAGTGTTGAATTTATGTCTGTCAAATAAATACGGGGCACTGATTTCCTAGCTGGAAGCCTGATTTCTTTCTAATACAAAAATCTTTTTCTGTATCATCACAGCTTTTACTGCTAATGTCCCCCACTTTGTAAAGTCCATGTTTTGACAGATGGAATTTCCCTGAAATGTTTTTGCTTAAAAAATACTGTCTGGCATATTAGCACCTGAGTGTGATAGAAGATGACACTCTCGCCTCAACTGCACCTGCTTCAGAAGAGACCCCTGGACCAGTCACTGAAGAAACACAGGAAAATCAAGATGTATGTAGAGAGATATAAGTAGAGCTTTTATTTTTGTAAACCAACCCAACATTTCCACTGGCAACTGTCAACATACCTTATGACACAAGCACTGTTTCTTTTTTAGTTATTTTTTCTTAAAAAACGTGTTTAAAATTAAACAGGTGTTGTATTTTTTAATTTTTCCCCCTTAGAAAATGTATTTATGTCAATGCAGAAAGCCTAAAGACCTGTGGGCAGTTTTGTGGTGATGTTGTATGTGTGTTTATTGGTGTTTGTATGTGTGTTTTAAAGCCAGGTTCTTTCAAAATTTATTGGGAAAAGGTCCATAGGGCATGTCAATCTCTTTTTCTATAAACCCAGGTTTCATGGAATTATGGTGACTAGGATTCTGGTTGGGGGGTGGCTAGAAATGTCCCACAGGATGGAAAAAGAGCTTTGTGAGTTTAAAAGCAAGTAGAAACTTGGAAAAATGAGGAATTCCAGTTCCTATCTTGTGAAAATGCTTTCAAATGTGGCCCGAGGGCCAGGAGAGGAGAAAGGAACCCCTGTTCTCTTACAAACCTCCAAATTCTAGCATTTAGTCAGCCCTCTTAGTATAGTGCACTAGCAAGTAAGAGGGTGGTGATGCTGACATTTCTCAGAAACGCTGACATTTTAAATATAATCTTTTTCCTTAAAGATCTCGCTAGTTGGACACCTCTTTTCTCCTGCTTCTGATACAAAACCAAGGATATTGGAGAAGGCATGTGCCCCTTTTGTTTCCCCAGCTGCCCTTTGTAGTGTGCCATTACTCTTTTTGTCCCATATTTCACACTTGGTGGTCTTTCTGCAAGAAGGGCACACATATAGACACGGACACATCCAGGACATGGAAGATGATAATTGCTTAATTGCTTTGTGGTTTTGATTTGAGTTCAATGCAAGTAGATAAAGCTTCTCTTTCTCCCCAAGTTGGTATGTGAGCTTACTTCCTCTCAAATGCTGTCAGTTCTCCAAAGAACTCACAGTAAAAAGGAGATGGAGCAAAGAGGTGGCTGAGACCCAGTGAGAATGGGAGGGTATGAGTCTGAAAGTTCATGCCTCTATTTGTCAGCTCAGAGCTGGAGTCCCTTCAGGGCACCTTTGTCACTGACTTCAGAAAGACAAGACAAACAAAACAAGACAAGACAATAAGCAAAACCTGATGGAAAACGAAGGCAACCACAGTAATGACTGCAATGAAAAGAGCACCCCAAACCAGCCATGTGGATGTGAATCATTCTCATGCCTCACCAGCAGAAAGAGAGATCACAGGCATCACACTGGACAGAGAAATTGCACCCCCAAATAAACTAGAGGCAAAGGAATAGTTGGAAGGCAGAACAGAAGGGTCTGATCTTCACTGTGGATCAGAGTCATGAGTGGGAGGATGGGATAGAGGTGGATTTGTTGCTGTTGGTTTGTATTTAAATACTTTGGAAAGTGAGTGTTTCCTCCATTCTGCGCGATTAAGACTTTGCCATTTCAGTGGACTGCCAGGGCCTACGTCAGGTGCGGTTCCTGGGGCTCAGGTGCTGATGCTGCCTCTCCAGGGTTGCTCAGCCTGGAAAGGTCACTGGTGGGAAATGCCCTTCTCTTGGGAAAAGTCCAAGACCTGCCCTGAAGGAGGCCTTATTTTGTGGCTCAGAACCCCTTGATGTAGCAATAGGCCTCTAGCGTGGCAAAGAGTATGTAGAGGAGCCACAGGCTCACAAAGAGCCACGTTGTGGCAAGTTTGCAGCCACGGGGGCCACCAAGCTCCCCACCCAGGTGCGGCCGCCGTCGGTACAAGAGCACACTGATGCAGACAAACGCAAAGATGGTGAAAAGGGTGACAGAGAAGGCCAGTGTGCCAGCTGACACATGGAACTCCTGTCCCTGCAGGGCCCAGTAGATGGCAGCCACGGACCAGGCCAGGCCAATACCCAGGAAGACATTGACAGCATTGCTGCCTGTGACGTTGCCAATGGAGGCGTCTGCATACACATCCTGCAGGGCAGCAGCTTTGCTGGCAAATGTATCTGGAAAAGAAAAGAGATAAATGGGAGCAGTGAGAACCTGAGATGTGCAGGGCTTGTCTTTGAGTAAGTACCAAAGGCAGCTTAGCAGCAAGAGCTAAGGGGCTGCTGCCAGCTTTGGCATTCATGAGCTGTGTAGCCTTGGGCAAGTCACATTACTGGTCTGAGTTTCCTGTTCCTTGTCTGCAGAAGGAACAAGAGCCATTCCAGTCCTGATATTTACCAGTAGGCTTATTGATCTCCTTTAACTAATTTTTCAATAAGAGAGTTGGCCATCTCATAATGTCTCCCAGGGAACTTTGACATCCTGGGAAGCTGCTTAGAGTAGATGTCTGATTATAATTGTCACATGGAGCATTTACTCACTTAACTCTGACAGTGACTGAGCAATGCCTATGGACTCAGAACTGCACTGATTTTGTGGAACAGAGACATGCTGGAGAACTGTGACAGAGATGTCCAGGGTGAGCTGTGGACTCAACAAAGATGGGCTCTACTTTTGCCGTTAGTATGTGGATCACAGGATCTTGAAGGATGTTTGGCTTTAGATCTTGGAACATATTGTAGGCACAGGGAAGAGTGCCAGGGACATCTAGCCCAACCCTTTTGTTTTACAGCCAAGGAATCTATGCTAGGTCACATAGGAAGTTGGCCAGAGACTTGACCCTAAAACCCTCATGTAAGAGCCCTTTTCATTCCATCTACCTACATCCAGACTGTCAGCCAAAGCCATGCAATCAGATACAGGGGCCATAGAATAACCTTCCTAAAGCCCTAGTGCTGCCAGCTGTGTTTTGGACCAGTTTCTAGGATTTGGAAGTGGCCTGAGCTATCTCCTTGCTTGATTTGTCCTGCCTTGTTGCATCATTGCCAATTTTGTCTGATTTTTCAGAGAAAACCTCTTCTCTTTCTTGCTTATGACCTTGTAGTTTCGTCTCTGATTCTCTGTTATTTCATCCAACACCTATTCTTTTCCCCATTCCCACTCCGTTCCCTCTGATGGTTTAGATTTCTCAACACTTGGAGAGCAATATCACAGAACATCTCATCCAAAACACCGTCCAGTTTCTCATAACCTGATTCCCTTCCAAGACAGCCAAACTTCTTGCAGCAGTAATATACAAATCATCCCACTGGTCTGTTCTGGTGTTTGGAGAATAGGTTCGTTCTCCTAGCGTGTGATGTAGGTTCATTTACTCTACAGAAGAGTATGTTCCTTGGTATGGAGAGGGTTTCCCTTGGTCCATTTAGCAGACTGGACTGATAAGATTCAGGCCAACCCTGCAGTAGGAGAATGTCCTCTGTTTCTCATTAGGGCACCTTTTGCTGGAAAGATTTCAGAGTATAGATGCCCTGGAAACCTTAACTGAATCAAGTAAGGAACCTGACCTAATGCAAGCCCTTTGGACCTGCTAACTCCTACTTGTCATTAAGGGCCAGCTTCCATCAACTTCCATTGGAAGTCATCCCTGACCCCAGCATAGCCCAAGTCTTCCTGTTTTACACATTTTCTTCATAGAATATATTGAGATGGTTTTAGTAAGAGTTTTCAAATGTAGTCTCCTTCACTAGATTATAAACTCAGGGTGAAGTAAACACATCTTTCTTCCCTCTTGTAACAGTCCTGATGAATAGCACAATAATTGTACCAGGCATGACAGGAACTCAGTAAATATTTGTCTAATGAATGAATTAATAATGCCTACTACTGTTTGTCTTTGGTGTTTAGAATAAAGTAAAAAGAATATGTAATTCACCCTCTGAAAAGACAAATCTCACTGGGTTTCCTTTGCCTGTCCTGCTGGGAGACACCTTGTTCACGCAAGTAGTTTTCCATACAAGGAAAGGAGGCAAAGAATACCTGTGGGCATTTCTACTGTGACATCTTCAAGCAGGCTAATCTTCAGTCTCTCAGGGACTGCCAGAGTTAAATGGAAGGTCAGTATCTATATTGTTTAAATTACATTGTTTGTGTCCTATTAATGTAATGTTGAGGCCAAGAAAATGGAATAGTTACTTTAGCAGGTAGCTTAACCTTGGTGGACCTCAGTTTCCTTATCTGCTTCATGGAGACAATAAGTTCCCTATTTAATGGGGTTATGGTGAGCATTGCAGGAATTGAACGTATGAATTGTTTAGCATACATAGTGTTTATCAAATCAAAAGTGTTCAGGAAATGTTGGATACCATTATTAATATATCATTAATCTCTTTGTCTTTTGTGTACTGTAGGAGCAGAGGCTCTGTTAAGCTCAGATCTGATGAAGAAAATGACACAGAGAAGAGGGATCATTTGAACCAGGAAATATCCTCTTTGCAAACTCAAGCTCCTCTCACTCTCACCTGGTACAGAGGTGCCAAATGCCACAAAAACAACAGCTGTGACTGAATCCTTGAGACCAATGGTGCAGCCAAAGTGGGAGGCCAGGTCTCCAATGATGGCGGTGAGCATGCCAATGATGAGGATGGAGACGACGAAGCAGGCCCAGCCATGGCAGTACTCTGTGGGGGGCACACAGGCAAACAGCACCTTCCAGAAGACTGTCAGGAAGTGCATGACATAGTCAAAACAGGACGGCAGCCTCTCCTCTCCTGATTCATCCTCATCCTCATCCCCTGCTGGAGACAAGATAAACAGGCCCAAGAAAAGTCAGCAAGGTTAGATCCTTATTCATGAGAAAGTCAAGTCCAACCCACATTATAGACATCCTTGGCCAAAGTGAGACTCTACCTCTGTCTGGACAGCTGATGAACCACAGGGCATGGGCATAAGAAAACAGTTGGGGAATGGAATACAAATTTATCATTAGTCAGTTTGAGAGACCAGGGAAATAAAGAAAAGAAGAGAGAAAGAGGGCAGGAGCACACAAGAACAAAAGAGTAGAAGAAAAAGAAAGGGGGCTGGAACCAGCTGCATTTGATTGGCTAGGAAAGAAAACAAAATTAGTTGTGTGCTCATTTTCTACTTGATGCCAACAGGGCTCCTCTCAAATTTTCTAACCTGACTGCTGCAATAGGCATCATGATTCTGGTCATTATCTATCCCCAGAGGGACAGTTGTCACTCCAGATCATGTAAGTACACAAGACAGCCAGTACCATCCTCCAAATATCCCATGGGACAGAGCAGGAATGGGCCCCAATTGTCCTTGTCAGGAAGTATGGACAAAGTCATCAAATCAGCATCCCAGGAAAGGATGTGCTGAGGCTCTCTGGTGCTACACTCAGGGCTACCTCTGTAATGTTTTGGATTTTGAAGAAGTCGGGAATCTGGGTTCTAATTCCAGCTGTGCATGAAGAAAACCTTAACCTGGGGCTTCTGAACCTCAGTTCCCTCATTTGTAAAAGGAGGAGGGTGGATTATGTAGCCTATATTCCATTTGTTGTCTCTTGAGGGACATAGGTCATCAGAAAGGGCACTAGAAGGATTGATGTGCATGTAGGGCGGCAGCAGCAGCAAACCTCTCTTCATGGCTGTACTTTTTGGCTCTGGGGCTTTTGGGATGTGGCCCTGTGGGTTGCTATGACAACAATACCTCATGAAAAAAGACAAAGCCAGTAATTCTCAGCAGTACAAGGAGGCCTGGTGTTGACAGTCAATCTAGGTGGTTTGGAGGCCCTATCTGTCCTCATCCTAACACATCTGTAGGCCTCTGAGACTCCTGTTGTGCTGTGGGTCACTAAGGAGGAGCCTGTCAGTAAATGCCAAGAGAAGTTTAGAGATTTTTGAGAGCGTAAAGATTTTTCCAAGTCAATGCAAAGCATTTTGCAAACTCTTGCCCTCACATCTGTAAACCAGAATTGTCCTCCATTTTACTTTATGAAAAGGGAGACCAAATTAATGAGAGAGGGAGGAATGATGGAAAACAGAATTTATTGGGTGCTTATTTTATATTTGATTCTGTACCTCTCTGCCTTTCTGAGAAAGGCAATGATAGGATACATTGAAGTCAGATAGGATACTTGCTTTAGCTCACATAGCAGAATCGGATTTGAAGGATTTGAAGCCAGACATGGCTATGCTCTTGCTGTTACCCTATGAATCTCTTCCAACATGACCCTGTGAAGCAGGTGAATGTCTATGACCAAAGCTGGGAAGACTGAACCCAGGGTCCTCCTAGGACCTGGTAAGCGGCTGATGGACCTATGCTCTTCCCTCTCAGGGGTTGTCCATGTCTCCCAGTAAGGCCATTTTGAGCTCCTCTTACCTGCACTGACAGTGATTGCCTCCATGAACTGGTCCCTCCAGGAATGGGTCCCCACAACCAAGGCTAAGTTTGTCTTCTTGATCAGTTTGTCCACTGTAGTCTGTCAGGGAGAGAAAGACTTGGAATCATGAGGTTAGAATGCTCAGAAACAATAAGGAGTCTGGTGCTTTAAAGGACTCAATGATGCCCTTCATTCCAGGGATTCTTAAAGTTATGCATGGAATGGCCTTGGGTGGCATCTTCTGGGGAAATCCTTATATTTCCTTTTTCTTTGGTTGTGACTTTTGACCATTGGGTATTCAGAGCAATACAACAGAGAATAAGGATATGGTGTCAATAAACCTTGCCCTGAAGTAGTGTGTTTTAGTATTTTAATAATACAGTTAAATGATTGTGATGGTACATCTATGGGCTTTCTAACCCATTTATTCCATATTTTATATTATATTTCCTTATAACATTCTAGCATACAAAACAGCCAGCACTATTTGTTACATGTTACAACTGGGGAAAGGAGATCCTGGGTGAGTAAGTGATTTGTTCAGTTTCAACTTCACTTATTCAGTGGAGAAATTGGGACAAAATTCCATATTTTCCATCCTCTATCCTAATTAATCTATTATTTAATTAGACCTCATTGATGGCCTGACCTTGAACTCATAGGACTCTTCAATGATGACCTCTAGTTTAGGGTGTTCACCCAATATTGGCTTTCCCATCTCTGCTATCCTCTTGGCCTCCTCTTCCTCCACAGTCAGCTTCCTGTCTGTCACCTCTGCAACAAAAGAAAATCAGACTAACTTTAGCATCTTTTCCATTCCCTGGAATCCTAAAGCTCACAGTATTAGATACGGGCAGTGGGTACAAAGCAAATAGTTTGGGATTGGATGCTTTGCATACTTTTTAAAGCCTCTCTCTGTGAAGTACTAAAACCTTTATGACCATCAGACAATGAAAGAGTTCATGGTAGGCCTGAAATAAGCATTTCTTTTCCTATTGAAAAAGAAATTGGTGGGCAATCTTACCCAAAGACTTCCCAAGAAATAGCACCAAGTGAAGTTGCCAAGTCATTCAGAGAGATATTGGAGAGCTGGAAAGAAAATCCAAATCTCTTGACCTTTAAGTATTTTGAACTGTTGAGCCTGTTTGTTTGTTCAACTACTTCATATAAGAGTTCTGGGAGGCATATTTATCTAAAGGGAATGTCTACTGGTTGACATTAACATCTGTTTCCAACATTGTTGGCCCATTTGATTAGAAAATCGTTCTTGGCAGCCTGTTTCTTTCAGAGCTCATTTAAACATCTTCCTATCCCAGTCCACATTCTCACATGTAATTAATTCTTTTATTCGTCTACTTAATTGCTTTCATTCCACACAGTAAACCTCCCAGGGGAATCTTCTAGTCCTTGGAGAATCTCAAGGACAAAATGGGTCAGAGGCCAAGAAGGTCTTCTTTTCTCTATAGCTGGGGAATTGGTGAAGGGAGGGGAAAGGAGAGACTTAAGCTCTTGAGGTTGCAGTGAAAGGAATTCACTGAGAAGACTGTAAGCCAAGGGTATAAGTTACCAAACAGGGAGCCTTACATCTTATGTAAGGATTTTCTTAGTTGATCTGGATGAAGATGGTCTGTGAATGTTCAGGCTCTGACTCCTGAACTTGGTGTGGTGCTTTAATCAGTGTTTCTGACACAAAACATAAGACAATACCAAACTATTGGGGAGCTGTCCGTGGTGCTATTCCCCTCTACTGTTGGTGGTCACTTTTGGAAACAATTATTTCTATGTCTTTCTGTATATTTCCTAGTCTTCAGATACTCTCCAGCAGCTTGACTTTCCTTACTTCATTGAATGAGTCTCTGCTTAGTAAACTCTGAAGGTCAATCTGAGTGCATCTAGGTGTTTGGCTTCTTATGAGCCAGCATTCCTAGAAACGAGATTGAGGGCCACTGTGGGAAAAAGTCCTTACAAAGTGTTTCATAGATTCCTGAAAAGAATAGGTAGTCTTTTTCTCTACCTGAAGGTTTTGGCACTATATTACACTGCTCGTCTTAGCAGTGACAATGTTATTCCACACCTCCCTCCCTAGTTCACCCATGTCATACTTTACATGTGCCACAAGAACTTTATACCAATATAATGTGCTCTCCAGTGACATATAAGTGTACCTGCCTAACCCTTTGTCTAGCTATCAATCTAGCACCATATCTATCTGACAGATTATTGATCTGCCTACTGACCTGTCCACCCCTGTAGTGACAGTCACTTTTTCCATCTAGCTTTTTGCAAACATTCCTTTGGCATATAACCATTTCTGTACCTTTGGGTCTCCTACAGCCCCACAGAGGCACTTTGTATATATCTGTTCATTAGTTCATATGCCTTTATATAAATTCTAATTTAGTGTTTTAGCTTGGCAGTAATCCTGCCTTTTCCTATTTTTATGATGCTCATTACTTTAAATTCAAATTAAACTATTTTTCTCAAGAGAATGTTTAGTCTCAAAAGACTATAGTGATTATGATCACTCGTTTATGTGGCTTCTTAGAATTTCAAGCTAGGACAATAAAGGATAGGTGATCTTTACATGAAGACTGACAAACTCTCAGTTTTAGGAATGGGAGAGAGAGAGAGAGAGAGAGAGAGAGAGAGAGAGAGAATAGGGGGCAAGAGAAGTACAATATGAATAAGATGGAAGATTGGACAAATATTGGGAAATCCAAGTGGCTTCCAGGTCAGACAGGAATAGGTTGTGGATGTTCTTCGGGCACCCTCATAAAGAAGTGAGGTGAAATAGCCAGAACTTTTATTGCAAGGCCACTGAACTTGGTGGAGTAGCTCAGGATGAACATGTTGACTCTGCCCTTAACCATTAGACATTGTTAATTATGTTGGCCTGTCTTCCCACAGAATCAAAATAAGGATTTGAGATTTCTAATGGATTTAAAGTCTATTTCAAGGGCTCTTAAATTAAAGGCTTACAGATTCAAATATGGAGAAAAATTGCCCCCCCATTTTTGCTTCTCCTGGTGTTTGCAAGTATACTAAAAGTATAATGAAGCTTAAATTAAGTCACAGTCTTTGTTGTGTGTATATGAGTGTAGTGTGCAAGCAAGATCTTGAACAAAGAAACCTAAATATCTTCACATGTAAGAGAATAAGCAAAGTAGAAAAGAAAGACCCAATGCTATAAGATCAATACACCCTAAGAGAAGAATGAAGAATATAGGGTTGGGTAACCCTTATCCTCTTGGTGTAAAAAGGAAGTGAGAAGCCAAGGGAGACAAAGTAATTTTTTTCACAAAAGGAAAATTTAGAAATTACCTACATTTTTTGTTTAAGACTGCAAGGAGGCAAATGACCTTACTGTATACATTGCCTCTTTCTAAGTATAGAGTATAGCCCATAGGTAACTTTGAATACCAACGAATTCTGTAATACAATTTACCTCTTAAATGACTTTAAAATTATAATATGTTTGAAGGACTGATGAAATGTAAGATGTTCTTTTAAAATACATTGAAACTGTTTTGTAGAGACCACTGTACCTGCATCAAGAGTTATAGTACTGCCAGATATGGGGAAATGCTTTCCTTTCTGTTCACAAGTTGGATGTGGTTTGTGACTGGTTTCCACTCATGTAAGCATACTGTCAAAGTAGGCATATATCCTACACAGGATCTAGATTCTGCATGACAGTCTCTCCAGAATAAAGTCTGTAAAGTATATTTTAGCCAGAGCATTGTTCACATTCCCCTTCTTGTTGTTTATGACACATGTGAATTTAAGAATCAATGAAAAATGAACCAAAATCCTGATGAGTTAGAAGAGCTCCAGGATCAGTAAAATTTCAGATTTCTAAAATGCTTTTCATGTTCTCACTGTAGCTCTTGATTATTTTCCTCTGGATCCCCTGAGATCTGTATTTCCTTTTGAATCCCATCACAACTCTATTAGGAGATTCCAGGTCAGACTCCCACCCTCTCTTTCCAAACAACATGAGATGTAGGTGAATTAAGACACAAGAGATTCCTGCCGTCTCCTTGGTAAGTTTGCCTTCCTGGTCCCAGAGAGGTTCTGCTATGCATTTATCCATATTCCCTAACAGAAATGAGGCTCAAAGAATTGTCTGCTTCCTCAAAATTACTTCATGTGGGGAAATAAATCTCCCAGACCTTGGGAAAACTTGTCAGGCTAACTTGAGCCTGTAGTTCCTAGTAAGTAAATCAATGGACATTGATCTTAAACTCAATAATGGCATTGGCAAGAAGTTGAAAAGAGGGGAAAGACACTTCTTACCTGGAGATAACAGGAGCGCTGTTTGCAAATGGATACCAGACAAAGGGAAGAAAGAAAAGGAAAGAGCATTAAGGTCCCATCTTGAAAGTATCCTCAGGCTATGTTCTGGGAGCACAAGGAAAGCAGTCAGCTTAGTAGGTGAGAGCTCAGGAATACATGCACAAAGCAGCATTTGGAGCATGCCAGCAACTGCAGCAGCAAGACCTGTTAGCAGCTGAAAGGCTGCCAGGCAGTCAGGAAAGTTATTCCCACATCTTCCCTGAAACCCTGAGAGCTAGGGATGGGGGAATCAAGTGGGTGGGACAGAGACTGAGTTGGTCACTTGTGATCCATTCTGAAAAGAAGGAGAATCCAGTTATGATGAAACTGTTTTGGTCACAACCCTGTTAGAGTAACTGGCTTATAAGTGGTATGACCATCAGGCTTGAATGGGAGCTCAGGACACCAGGTAGCAGGGAACAAGAGTGGAACAGTGCACACTTCTGTGATGCTAACTCTAACCTTGCAATTAGATCATGTTCCATTTCTCAGTGCTTAGAGGGTTACTGTAGCCACAAATGGTATCCTAGCTACCATGTGATCTCTCCTAAAAGAATATATTGTGAAAAGACAAGTCCTATAGTATGCTTTCCTAGAATGGTTTGTCTTCTTTTATAGCTACATCCCATTTTGTGCTGCCTGTGCCCAGCAAAGTCCCCACATTTAGTAGTGTTCTATAAAGGTTTGTTGTTTGCTGTCTATTTTGGCAATTGTCTTTTCGATAGATCCTATGATGCTACATCTCTGTGTGGTGATCTTTTTGTTCCAGAAAGGGCAGGGCAGGTGAAATCAGTATTAGATACTCTGGAACAGAGAGACTGTCATACCAAGAACTACAAGGAGATGGGAGATGATAAATACAAGATCTGTAGATTGACCTTGGAAACTGAGTTAAAGATATACCTAAAAGGTTGTCCCAAGCCACTTAATTTGTAGTAAGTACTAAACTTTCTTAGACTTCAAGGCCCAGAAATTAAAAAAAAAATCCTATGACACATCGCATTTTCATCTTGATGGTGTCATAGTACATTTTATTCTTTGGCACTTCTCAGATGAAAGTCTGGAAACACCCTGCCATGTACCCCTGGAGCATCTGGTGACTGATGGAGATTGACGAGGAAAGGAAAGAATACGTGTATATATGTGGAAGATGTCTGTCAATTGTTCCTTCTAATAATCTCTAGCTATGCAACTCAAACCTGGGATGCATCATCCCATAGTCACAGTCACTGAAGACTCAGAATCTGCATAGCTTATAAGTAGGTGAACAGCAGTTGACGTTTCCTGGTATTTTCCATTTAGACCAAGGATGTAATGGACCAATGGATCTCCCCGTTACATTGAGATAGATATCAAAGGAGATTGTTTATTCTGTTCATTCCATGGGACTGCATGGCAGAGCCTTTCTGGCCCCCAAGTTTCAGCAGATGCTGGAGATCCCAACATATTAGTGTGCCCAGGCAGGCCAGACATTCTCTAGGCTTCATCTTCATGAATCTGAGACTTCCCACTAAGCAGTCACAGCTGTATTTGCAAGATCCAGGTAGGCCAGCTTTGAATTACCCAATACCTCCAGGGCATTTTCCTAATGCGGGTGATGAGAGAAGGTGAAGCTGAACTTTCCCCAGTGTCAGACACTCCAGGGACAAGTAGGAAAGAATATAGTGCTGTGAATAATTAGGAAATACTTGTCAAGGTGAGTTTCTGTGGAAAGAGGAGGAACAAGCTGCCCCATTTAGGGGGGCAATGTTTTCCTTTCCTGCCTGACACTCCCTCTGTTGAGGCCTGGATCCAACAGCCCTGACAATGATGCTTTCAAAAGTCTGCTTCTAGACACCAGGTCTTACTCTACTCCAGGGAAACTGTGTTTCCTACTCATCCTTCCTTTTTGACTTACCCCAAATTGTTCAGAACTTTCCATATCACATCTGAAATCTGTTTGACTTACCCAGAAAAAGTCTCCTATTTCAAATTCAGTCCTTTTTTTTTTAAAATGCAATTGCTATTTTGACCATGCAGAGACTATGCCATTCTAAATGCCTAAGACTCTCCTATATAGCAGTGATAATGAAAAGCAATTTCAACTGCACTGCCTCTCACTCTGAGAACAGCAGGGAATTCTGCAAATCAGGATGGATTTTCATTTGATTCTCAGTCTAGACGATCAGGTTTTATGACCTTTCACCTTATGGTCTGATGCCAATATCTGGGAAGAACTGAAGAAACTGAAAATTAGCCTGGTAGACCATAGGGCAAGAGGTTGGGAAAGTGAAAATTTTTGGATTGGAAGATTTGATCGTGGCATCTGGTCCCTTGGGAGATCTGTGACCATGCCACAAAAATAGCTTGCTTGAACTGCTCTTCTTCTCCCATATTTCCTTCCCCAGGACTAGGCTCCACTAGGGTTTTGCTGGAATCTCCATAGACAAAGAATCCAATGTAAAAAAAGGAAGGTGTCCTCAAATGGGGAGTAGTCGCAGGTATTTGCATTTGGTCAGGTCTCTTGAAAAGCCCAGGACTTCTCTTATGTTGTTCTCTGTCCTGCTATTTGTAGGGACTCTTACATGAGGCAGAAAAGAATATCTCTTTACTGGTAGAATAAAGGCGTGAATGAATTTCTAATTCCTTCCTCCTGTTTGGAGCTTCTGCCTTCCTTCCAGCCACCCTGCTTTTATCTGCATCTAAGTAGCTGGGAATATAGAAATTGGTGATGTGAGTCTTAGGTATCTTCTATTTCTAGCCAATCATGAAGATGTGAACTATACGCATAACAGAGGTGAGAATGAGGTGGGGCATATGCAGAGATGATTTCTGACAATTATATCGGTGGTAGGAACTGAAAGATTGAGAAGTAATGAAATGAGAGACATCTTCTTTCTTCTGCACTGCCTGGCAGTCAGGCTCATGGCAACATCTTATTTGGTGAACAAGAGGAAGGTGATCAGTGGCAGATGGAAAGGGCTTCTTCTCCTGTTAGCTCTCCCCACAGATAATCTCCAAATGATGATGATTATGGTCAATCAGGTTTGAGAAGAAGACCTGTAAAGAAGCTCTGGAAGTGTCATTGCTGAATCTCTTAGATCTGTCAGCTTTCTGCTGCTACCTGCCATGTGACTATGAGTAGTTGCAGAATGATCAGCCCTGTTGGACAAATAGGTGGATTTCACTGTTGCATTCTCTGCAAGCATATCTCTCTTGAAGGGGAACCAAAATGTTCTTCTCTTGGGACCTCCCAAAGGCACTCTTTACTGATTCACACATTTGTTACTCCCACACTTTCAAACTGGTGGCTTCCAATCATTTTCTTCAAGGGAAGAAATCCTTCCTTACATGTCCCCTGGTTGCAACCCAGTCAGCCTTTTAGGATTGAACCCCTGGCAGGTATGCTGAGATGTATGTCCTGAGGAAAGAGGGAGAGAGGGCACTGCTCTGGTGTGGAATCTAGGGATATGAATGATGTTCTCACTTGCAAATGCCAAGCAAAGGCAGGTGTCCATGAACCATCCATCAGCTGCCTCCGTCAGCTGTCCCTCAGGGATCAGCACCACTATACCATTAGTTTATGCTTTTGGAAAACTTCTGAGTCAATACTCTAGACCTTCACAGTGTAAGTTCTTTACCAAGGCCCATTGATTAGGGAAATTTTCATACCTGAATACTTCCTTCTCTCACAAACTCTCAATTTTCTGCTTTAGAGGTTGCATTATCCCAAAGTAGTCTGAATAAGATACCCTACCTTGGGTTATAAAAATGAGAAGAGGGGGGTGGGTGGGATGCCAAGGTGAGGAAGAATAGCTCAGGATTCCAGGTTGTAGGACTACTTCAAGAGCCATCTTTCTCACTTTTGGAAGTTGTGGCCTCTGGCAATTGGTGTACCTCCCCATGCCATGGTCTTCCCAACTGGGAAATAGGCAGATAATGCACTTACCTCCATGAAGGGTAGAGGGCCTATGGGCCACTCTGCAAGTGAATAGCCTGGCAAGCATTCAGCTTGAAGAATGCAGCAGAAAACTGTCAGAGAATCATGGCAACCCCAAGCCCCATCCCTGACCCTCCCCTTCCCCATTCAGCCTCTGATAGAGAGTGGGGGTTGGCAGGGACAAGGGCAGGAAAGGGTCATAGGCATGCAACATATCACATTACTTCCTTTTTTTTTTCTTTCCCACCCATCAAGGAGTTTTCACATTTACAGGCTACAGTACAGGGATGGACAGTTGAGGGAAATGCAGGGGACAGTGGCAATTGGATGACTGAAACACAAAACGGAAGTAACTCGTTAAGGTAATGAGGAGTTGAGGCTGCAGTGCTGCTCAGAAGGTGGGAAAGGAGGAATTTGAACATAAACTATGGCTAAGAAGGCAGAGATGACACCGAAACAGGGTGAGAGCGAGAATACAGGAGGGAAAAGAATAAACAAGTCTGTTGGTCAAAAGGAGAAAGGAGGAGGGAAGAAAAGGGGGGAGAAAAAATAGAATTCCTTTTTCTTTTTGATTGTTTTCCAGTTTAATTTTTTTTCTTTTTCATTGTTGTTTTGCTTTTAAAGAATCTCACACCTGATATTCCACGTTCCATCCATTTCGGTTCACCAAGGGCAATGAAGAAATTCTCTTGCCTTTCGTATTCCTCCTCATCTACTATTTTAACCCTTATGGTTTTCCTGTAGGGACAACAAGAGAGAGAGCGTGTCGACTGGGTGGGCAGGTTGATTGGTTACCTGGAACACAGCCGTTATAATCATTCCCCATCACTCTTGGCACATGCAGCCCATCCCACCATGGTGGCCTTTGACAGGACTATGGTGGATTGTGTTGTTCTCAGATAAAAAATGGTCTTAGCTTTTCTTGTCTCCTTGGTCATAGTTGTTCTTATGAGTGAGAGGAAAAGGGAGCCAGGGGGCAAGGACAGGTGGGCTAAGGAAGGAAGCCAGCAGGACAGAAAGGGAATGGGAAGGAAGAGCTGGGTGATGGTGGGGAGGAGTAGTTTTGGATCCTGCTGAGGGTTAGTAAGAAGTGAGTTGAGCAGCACATTCCATTGGATGTCACATGGTAACACTGGCATTTCTTTGGGCAACAGGTAAACTACTACCAGGAAAGACCCCAAGTCCTTCCACTACAGGCAATGTGTCCCTGACACTCAGGGCCTGTGTTCCTTCTTGTCTGTACCCACTTCTCCTGTTAGCATTATGAAAATTTTAAAGGAAAGTATTTATGGGGAATGAAACTAGAGAGAGTGAGAGAGAAGGTAAAAAAAGAAAGGGGGCATTATTCTATCAACATTCTCATTCTTTTTTTCACAGTAGGCTTCAGTGGGATTGACCAAAATAAAGATTAACCACAGTATGATACAGGAATCCTTTACATTTACATCCTTGTCATAGAGGGATGATATGTTCCTAGACTGGCCTCTTAAGTGCTGATTAGCCTGGAATCGGGGCACATGGGCATGGAGGCTTCTGCTCATCTCTGGGTATCTTACCACAGTATAGGGTCTTTTACATACAAGTAACCAGGAAGAAAAGATTCTTGAAAGTTACTCTGCTCTAAGTACTGGCTTGAGGTTGGGGTGTGGGCCTGGCCCTTCCTGGGTGACTTCTTCTGGTCCTTCACAGAACCACAGTGATAGGGAGCAAGCCCCATTAACGAGCCAGCTGGTATTTAATTCCATTTGTTTTTGTAGGGTGGGAGTGGGAGAGGGAAGCTTGAACTTAAATGGTGTCAAAGAACAAGGAGAGTGAATGAATGACAACGTAAATGTCCTCAGATCCTCTGACAGTCCTGTGACATCCTGAAGGCATGCTCTGCTTTGGTACCAGCAAAGTAACAAATAGATCTGAGCTGGTTTGTTAGGAACAGAGTCTGCTGTGAACTTGTGGTGGTGGTGGTGGTGGTGTGTGTATGTGTGTGCGTGTGTGTCACAAGTACATTTCTGGTCACCTTTTGAATCCTTTGGGGTGACTTCTCCATACCTTGCTTAGTGAATAGAAGGCTAAGCTCACTGATAGTTAAAGCATTTGTGTGCTTCTCTTGGCCCTAGATATGGGATCCTGGGGCTGTCTACAAGATGTGAGTCCATTTTTCTGCCATAGGGATTCTGGTATGGGATAGGAATGGGGCTCTGCATTGATGGATCTGGCCTAGATGGACATGATGACAGCTGGGCCAAGGAATATTGCCTCCTAAACTGGCAGTTCCCTCCTCTACATTATAGTCTATTCTGGAAAGGATTTCCTGACTTGCCTATTAGAGACCATTGGATGTGTGGGATCATCTAAGTAGAATGCAAAGGCTTCATCCACTCTGAGAAGTCAAATGAACTTGCTGGGGGAAGCCTCTACTCAGCTCAGAATCCTTTCTCCCATTATTCTATCTCTCTGCCTCCATACCTAGCTGTTCTTAATAGGGAAAGTAGAGGAAGGCAGTCAGGTCTTTGACTGACACCTGGAACTTAAACCTGTACTTTCAACCCAGTCAAGATCAGGGAACGAAATTAGAGTTGTGACAGATAAGATGGATCCTGAGGACCACTTTGGGGAGTGAGATGAGCCACAATCCAAATGCATGGATTCTCAACTTCTTTAGCCCCTAGAATAACTGCCCTATGGAAATTTGTGCTAAGAGCCTGTTTCCTAGTGCTCCCTTCTGCCTGGTGCTGTTTATCTGGCCTTTCTAGTTCCTGCACACTAAGCCATTCAGGAAAAGCTGAGGACCTTGTGTGGTACATGAGGGGGTTCTCTCTCTCTCTCTCTCTCTCTTGCTTTAATTTCTTCATCCCAGAAAAATTGCCATTGGTTCTTGAACAGTCCTCTTATGGATACCATGTGACAGGCAGGTGAGTGTTAGGCCACAGCTGGGAGCAGAGAGAGGAGAGGAAAAAGTGAAAGAGAAGAAGAGAGGAAGAAATAAGGAAAAGTGAGTCAGAGAGGTAGAAGGCAATAGAGAAGAAGGAGAGAAAGGGAGAAAGGAAGGAGAAGAGAGAAGAATGTTAATGTTAGTGTGCAGGACAGGGTACTACACCTTTCTGAAAACTCATATCCACCATGCGGGGGCCCATCATCTCAATGAAGTAATTCTTGTTTTTCTCATACGCCTCATCATCAATTACCTTGATGTGAATTGTTTTGCTGTGGATGGAAAAAACAAGTATCATAAGCAAGGAGCAGAGTGGGGGTGAGCCAGCCAGGAGAAGAAACAGGAAGAGAAGGAAACAGAAAGAGATCCAGAAAAGTCCAAGTTTGTCCCAGCACCACAGGAACATGGAGGAGGATGGCTGCCCTGGGTCCCCCTCCAACTTCAGTGGTTTCCTTCTGGACTCTGTGTGGCTTCATGGCATGACCATACCCGAAGACTGGAGAGAGCTCAGGATATACAGCCAAAGGCTCCGAGTTCTAATCCTGAACGTGATGTGTGATTTTGGACAAATAATTTAACAAATATACAAACAGGATGAATAATGCTTACACTATCCCAAAGTGGTTGTGAGGGCAATCAAATGATAGACAGTCTCACTTTATCTTATGAATATGTTCTAAGACCCCAGTGGATGCCTGAAAACAAGGATAGTACTGAGGCCTGTGTATGCTATGTGCATATGCTATGCTTTACCATGCACAGCTATGATAAAGTTTAATTTACAAATCAGGCATCATATGAGATTAACAACTAATAATAAAATAGAATAATTACAACAATACACTGTAACAAATGTTACTTAAAACATATATCTATTTCTGGAATTTTCCCTTTAATATTTTCAGACTGTCATTGACCACAGGTAACTGAAAGTGCTTTTTTCCCTACTTTCAACATTACAATTATGAATGCATATGAATTGTATATATTAATGGGTTTCAAAGTGGCATTTCCATACATGCATATACTGTGCTTTGGCCATCTCCACCCTTCCAACTATCCTCTCTTCCCTTTCCCTTTTTCTTCACTCCTGGTCCCCTCTGAAACTGCTGATTAGGAGGTGGCAGCTATTATATACATATAAAGTCCTCCTATATGGCTTGCTTCCTTCTCCCTCTTGCTGTTGGGGGACAAGGAGGAGGTTTTTTTTTTATTTTCAAAATCAGCTAATGTTGATTTAAGATGCTTATTGTATAGAAAGAATAGGAATTGAGGGAAAAACAGGTTCTGCAGGAATCCTGTCCAGAAATTGTACAATCTCTCCCTTTCTGTATGGCAGCAACCCTCACAAGGGAACCAGGAGGGTTCAACTCATGTCACACAGTCTGGTAACTCACAGTAGGTCTCAAAGATACTGTCTCTAAACAACACCCTGAGGTCACAGGGCTCCACTGGCAGAAGCACATTCACTCTAGGGTACTCTGAATTATGGCCGGTTTCTAAGTCCCACAATGATCTGACCTCACGGCTAGCACAATTAAATTGCTTTGTATGTTAAAAAGTGTTACTTTTGTAAATGTAAATATTTAAGAATGTAAACCAAATTTAGTAACCTAGTTTTGCATTTCTCCTCCTCCTCCTCTTCCCTCCTCCTCTTGCTTCTCCTCCTCCTCTCCATCCTCCTCCCTCCTCCTGGTTCTCCTCCTCTTCCTCCTCCCTCTCCTCCAGCTCCTCCCGCACATCCTGCTTATCTTCCTCCTCCTTCTCTTCCTCTTCTTTTCTTCTTCTTCATTACTAGATGCTTTAAAAGCAGAGGTAGACTTGGATCTCCCCAGTTGTTTCTTAATGAGGGGACATTTCAGGGTGTGAGACACTGCTGGTGCTGTGGCATGGAGCTATGTTTCCTGCAGTAGTGGGATGAACAGAATGGCAGGAGCCCTGATCTGCTGCCACAAGCATACCTCTTTCCAGTCTCTGCACTCCAAGGTTTGGCCTTTGTTGAGGAGACCTAGGTCTCAAGCTCCTACTTTTATTTGATAAAGAAGGAATATCTTTACAGCCTAACTTGGGACAAACTCTGTTCCCTGCTTCTCTAAGTCATCCTTAGAGCTTTGTTTGGGTGTCTACAGTCCTCATTGTCCACACTGAAGCAAATGTAACAGCAATTACTAATATGCCCCAGTCCCTTCATCCCCTCCCATACTCACCCTAGTCACTGAAAAACCTGGCTAGCCACCATGGAAAGCAAGTCCATGCAGCCTGTGAAAGCCACAGAGGGGTGAGGGAGACTGATGACCTGGGTCAAAACCCCTTCTCCAACCCTCACCAGCTGGGTACCTCAGGTAACTTGTTGAAGTTCTCCAAGTCTCATGTATAAAATGGAACAGTAATACCTACTTTGTAGTGTTCTTAGATGAGACAACACAACGGAAGCACTTGGCAGGATTCTCTATTGAGTGTTTAATAAACAGCAACCATTATTACTAAGAGTAATAATGACTCCAGTTTAGTAGTTTGAGAGTAATATGTAAAGGAATCTTGTCATCTCCAGCCATTAAGTCAGAAAATAAAGAGAAATCAATAAACAGTCCAGGCTAGAAACAGAAGTCAGGTCAAGAAAGGGCTAGATCAAACAGGATGATAGATCCCATGTGGGTTTTTAGAGGGTCATGGAGTGATAAGAGGGGGAACACTGAGCACCCCTCACATTCTGTCAAGATTTGGCCTCTGCCCTGACAGCAACCAGCTCTGGGCAGGACAGACCACGGGTTGTACAATATAGTATGACTCATACTTGTTTTGATTTTTAGTGAACAGATAAACAGAAAAAAGGTGTCATTGGCATCTTAGTTGAATCCAAGAGAAAGGACAAGCATTAAGTAGCACCAAGAGGAATTCAGGTTGGTTAAGTAGAAGCACCTGTTGTAGGGTGGGATGGGAGGAGGCAGGGTGTGGGGTTCCCCCACTAAGACCATTTACTAGCTGAAAGAGTAAATAATACATTGGAGGAGGACCCTTTGGCTTTCATTTTATACAGGAAGGAGAGAATCATATATCACATGTGGACTTTTTTTTCTACTCTATCCGTATTTCTGCTGTGTTAACATAGGTGCTATTATTTTAAAGACGAGACCATAAATGCTCAGAGAGGTTGAATAAGCATATGTCTGTTTTTATTCTTAGCTCATTTCCTATAAGCAGGTGAGCAAGCTCTGAGTGCCATTCCCAGGCTGCAGTCACACTGGGGAACCACAGAATCTCTCCTCCATATTGAAATTCAGGTAGCACAGGTGTTAATAAGAGGATTTGCTCCTAGAAGGCATTGTGAGTAGGTGGCTTCCTAACCCTTAGTTCCTCCCCCACCCACATAACCTCCAAATGTGGGTTGGGCTTATGTTTTGGTGCCCTTTCCCCTCTTGACTTACACTCAGTGACTCTTGCTATATCGAGGCGGGCTCCCTCTTATCACTTGTAAGTGTACCCTTGATTAGGCCTGCAAATGCTTACAGAGCTTCTTGACCTAGGGCATCAGGACAGGGCTGTGAGCCTTTCCATGGGAGCTTCTAGAAGCCTCACTCCTCTTTGAGGGGTTCTTTTCCCTCTCCTTTATCTTCCTAGTTGAGCTCCAGCAGCTCCTATCTTCCCCTGCCAGGTTTCTGACTTTTCAACACCCCTCTATACCTGATAGCCCAACACTAATGCTCCCTCAGGCCTTCACCACAGTCTGAGGGAAAGGCTCCTGTCTCTAGTTGATTTTCTCTTAAAAATAGCTGGTGGAGTGGTCCAAGTGGTAGAG